TTGGTTCAAGTCATTTAGGTACCATACGTTCAGGTATCAATGATAATGTCCGTTTCCAAACAAAATGAAATACATGATATATTTACTATAAGTTCCAACCTTAAAATTAAACCCATATTACTCTGCAAATCAAACGACGCCTAGATGAATATCACGAATCAAACATCCTCTTAACCTGAATAACTCGTTTAGCATCTTACATGGTATAGATAAAAGACATACTTGCAAATTATCTAACATATATGTGTATATATTTACTTGTAGCTAAAACAAGCACCATGCTTGTTCAAGCTGCAATGCTTATAAATTTTTTATTAGCAAAAATAATGTAGATTATGCAAGGTATAAAATATTAAAGCTAGAGTGCGCATGGTCAGGCCAACATGACTCATGAAAATGGCCCAACCCGACTTGAGCTCGTCACAAGCGCAACACTATATGAGATGCACGCAAATGGGCCATGAGCCATGCATAGACTTTATATTTAAAATTTGGCATGAGTTTGACAGGAGCTTTATGGTCCTACCCACTGATTTTTGACCAATTGACCAAATATATAAAATATTAAAGGGCCTATTGACATGATACGTGTGTTGATCGTGTATGGGCTCTTTTTATGAAAGACCAACACAAACCTGACACTACACAAAGAACTCTTAACCCATTTAGAGTACGACCTGCTTGAGCACGAGGTACGCTGACACGATACAACTCGCACCTACTTTAATCATAAGCTTCAAACATTAGAAAAGTGAATTGCTATTCGACGCTCCCAATTTACATGGTGACGCTCCCATTTAAATGTGAAATTACCGTTTTGCCCTTGTGTTAATTTGATCTATATAAGGCTCCACCACTTTGTCACATAGTATACCGAGCAGTTTAATATTATTCCCGAGGCCTTTGAGCCGTGCAACTTGCCTTTAAAAAATCCCGAGGCCCAAAATTCCAAAGCCCACCTCCAAAAGTATTAAATTTTTGTAAAAAAAAATTATCAAGGTTTAGCGACGGGTTTTGGACGATGAACGACGACAACGATCGTGCCAGAGACATCTTCGGAAGAATCTGTAAGTCGGAAATTTTTTTTTTTTTTGGAAAAGGGACTTCTGCCCAAAATTTTCGGAAGATCTATGGAGGATCCGGAAATCTTAGGCGGATCCTCCATGGATCTTCCGGAAATTTTGGGCGGAAGTCCTTTTTCAAATTTTTTTTTTTTGGTTATTGATTCATATTATTATGATTTATTTTTTTTTGTTTTGATTATTATGATTATTAATATTTTTTTTGTTATGATTATTATTATTATTATTATTATTATTATTATTATTATTATTATTATTATTTAGTATTATTATGATTATTGTTGTTATTATTATTGTTATTGTTATTATTATTCGTTTTTTTTTGTTAGTATTAGTTTATGTAATTGTTATTAATATTGTTATTATTGTTATTGTTAGTTATTTTTGTAAGTATTAGTTTATGTTAATGAGTTAATATTAGTCAATGTTAGTGTTAGTTTATGTTAGTTAATATTGTCATATTAGTTAATGTTAGTGTTAGTTGATGTTAGTTAATTTTAGTTAATGTTGTTGTTATTATTATTATTATTATTATTATTATTATTATTATTATTATTATTATTATGATTATGATTATGATTATGATTATGATTATGATTATGATTATTATTGTTATTATTATTATTATTATTATTATTATTATTATTATTATTATTATTATTATTATGATTATTATTATGATTATGATTATGATTATGATTATGATTATAATTATGATTATGATTATGATTATGATTATGATTATGATTATGATTATGATTATGATTATGATTATTGTTATTATTATTATTATTATTATTATTATTATTATTATTATTATTATTATTATTATTATTCTTTAAAAAATATTGGTGTTGTTATTATTATAAGTAAAATACTAATATTGGCGTGTTTTTTGTGTTTTCTTGTATTTTTAAAGGATTCGAAGTTTGAAGAAGGCGGTGACGGTGTGAATTACAGTGCGAATTTTGTCACAAATACGTTTTTTCGAACGTTTGATGATGCAATTCAATGGGCGGATGCTGTTGCCATAAATCTGGGATTTATTTTGGTCAAATCGTCTTTCAATAAAACCAGGGATGGTAGGTCGTATCGGTATTTGAGATGTGATCGGGGACGTAGGAGCAAGCCGAGAGATCTTGAGAACGCAATTCAGAAGAACACTAAAACCAAAGCCAATGGTTGTCCTTTCTACATCAAGATATATTACGAGTTTGTCACCGACAGTTGGAAGATCCGGGTAAAAAATGATTCAACTGGGACCCATAACCATCTAATGATTGTGTATCAGGAGGGGCATCGGAAAATTAGTGGGTTGAGCCCGGATGCGAAGAAGGTTGTGCGTGACATGACGAAGTCTAAGGTGGCACCGCGTAACATCATGGCGACTATTGCCGAGCAATTTCCTGATGATCATCCAAACATCAGACACATCTCTACAACTGCCGAAATGACTTGAGAACGGAGATGTCTGATGGAAGAGGAGTAGTTCGGCAATTTCTACATTTGGCGAGACAGGGTCAGTATCTGTACTAGGTCATGTCTGATGATGTAGGCATTTTACAGCACGCCTTTATGGTGCACCCAGTCACGGTAGACATACTACGGACGTACCCATATGTGATCGGTATGGATTCCATTTACAAGAACAACCGATACGGGATGCCGTTATTTGAGATAGTAGGTGTGACACCGACAAATCAGAATTTCCTCTTTGGTTACGTGTTCATGCGTAACGAGTGCACGGCAAGCTATCGATGGGTTCTGCAGAGACTGAGAGTCTTGATTGGGTATGATAGGGAACCGTCAGTTTTTTTGACAGATCGTGAGCTTGGGCTATGTGTGGCATTGAGAGAAGTGTTTCCAGGGACCCCGCACTTACTTTGTCGATGGCACATTAACAAAGATGTGGAGGCTCGGGTCACTGATATGTTCAAAAACAAGAAGATCGGTGCGAGTTTCAAAAATGGGAAATGGAAACGTATCATGGATGCTGCAACCGAGGAGGATTATAATGCTGCTGTACAAACAATGAAAGATCGGTGGGCAAGTTATCCAGCGGTGATACAATATGTAGAGAGAATGTGGCTTTGTCATAAAACCAAGTTTGTGACATTTTGGACAAACCAAGTTCTGCATTTTGGCAACACCAGCACTTGCAGAGTTGAGAGCCAACATTCGGCTGTGAAGATGTGGTTTGAATCTTCGACAGGTTCATTGTTTGGACTTTGCTGTAGTTATTGATTATTATGAATATTATTATTATTTTTTTTTATGATGATTATTATTATTGTTATGATTTTGATTATTATTATTAGCGTTATTATTATTATTATTATTATTATTATTATTATAATAATAATAATGATTATTGTTGTTGTTGTTATGATTGTTATTATTATGATAATCACTCCTGACAGTTTTTTTGAAATGTGCAGGTTCTTTGGATACCGTATGGGCCCGAGTTCATTGCCACATTGGTAATCAGATCATCGCCATTCGTAATGGTTTGGAGGCGTCTAGGTTGAAGATTGGTCAGAAGTACCGACAATTGCCACTGTCACGTATTAATGGCAAGGTGTCTCAGCATTATTTGAAGGTTCTCGACGACGAGACGAAACGGATGAGGGAGCTGAGTTATCAGGTGTATGAGCGATGTGTATGTGCAATGCGTGTGACCCACGGTTTGCCGTGTGCTTGCCAGATACATGATTCTCTAGCTGCCGCGACAGGCTTGTATACTAGGCAAATTCACCTGTTCTGGAAGACCTTGGTTATCGGTGATGGTGATGATGTACCGGTGTTCGGTAATGACTCGACCGAGGACGCCACACATTTTCGTTCGCTGGTGGACGAGGTAATTGGTAGTGATCCTGCTGTTCTTCGAAATGTATCTCGCATCATTGAGAAGGAGCTGCATCCGGATCATTCAAACCTTGGAGATCCTGCTGTAAACCACAATTTTCGGGATCGACGAAGGAACAATGATGCAAGACGTGATCCTTGTTATTTCGAACATGTCAACCGTCGAAACACTCAACGTGGTCCGCAGTAAACAGGTAAGATTGGCTATTTTGATTTTCACGTATTTTAACATTTACTGTACTTATAGCTGAACTCTAATTTCGTGCAGAAGATCCATGTGACATCAGCCAAAGCCGGTATCGACACTTACTTCCAGGACCGATATTGCCTTACATCACAAGATGGAAGGATGTCATTGGCGATGGTAACTGCAGCTTTCGTTGTGTGGCCGACTTCTTCGATGACCAGGGGCAATGGTATGACGCTCGAGAAACAATAACTAACGAGGTCCTCGGTTATCCAGTCCTGTACGAAAGGATTTACGGGCTTGGAAGGGTTGGGATGAACGTGGAGCATATTCAATGGGACGGTGGGGCGGTTGATTCCCATCATTGGATGGTTGCAATTCAATATTTATTTCCTATTGCTACTTGGTTCAACGCAATGGTTATTATTCTTGGTGTAGGCCAAGTACCAACGTGCTACTACCCATGTCTCACGATCTTGCCGCTACGGGCACGAAGGACGGTTACGGCACCTACCCGAGAGTTTGTGATTGCTACAGTTGGGGGCTCACATTTTATCCGTATTGATCTTGCACCAGATTCACCACTACCCCCGATTGCAGGTTGGTGGACCGAGCACCACGAGCCAAGTGTTGACGGTTGGGATCAACGTTATGCAGTTAGAAGGAACATGTGGGATGCGTTAATTAGATAGTGAACTCGTTTATGTACATTCATTTATGGTGAACAGTTGTAGATATATAATATGTAAATCAAGAAACGTAATCAAACAAAGTATCAACAAAACCAAAAAAACATTTGTACATGCCGAACATAAAGTAAATTAACGAAGTGCGTACAAGTAATATAAAACTAAAAAACAAGAAATTCACAACCCCATCATCGCCTTCCCGTAAGCTCGTAGCTGCACAACCATTGCCCTCGTATCACGCGACATGTTGGGATACTCTTCCAGTGACCTGTTGATAACCTCCATGGATCGACCCATCCACTGCAATTAAGAAAACAACATATTATACAAATTACAATTATTTGAAGTGGTATTAATAGTATAATAAAGCACAAATACTTACATAATCCGTGTTAGTCCTCTCAGGTAGTCTAGTACTCCCATCTGATGACCCACCAGGAGATAGACGAGGATGAAAAAATCGGTACATCCACTGCATGTAACCAGGAGCGACCGTAGGAGCTCCAGCACCAAGTCTGGTGAGGGCACCTAAGACCACACTGAAAGACGAACCAGGGACAAACCGAGTCCACATCACAGATGTCATCTCGATCGGAAAGTCAACCCGATACATCTTCAAGTTCGTCGGTCTCTTGGCCTTCTCAGGCCTGATAATGGTTCGCGGAATGTCCTGCACGAATCCAAGCTGTCGGACCACTCGATCAGGCATGTATGGCTCAATGATGCTCCGGTACTGGATGCAGCCTATAAATAGAGTGGCCGGCACGCGTCGAGCGGGATCAACTCCGTACGGTAACCAGTTGACCTCATTGTCGGTTAGCTGATCCAATCGAGCACGAAAAGCGAGGAGGTGCTCTATGCTCTTGTTCGAGCATCCCGATCCCACATCCCAAGCACACGCACGAGGAATACTAAGCTCCCTCGTCAAGGTACCCTGCTGAGGGCGGAAGCACGGAAAGTACTCGTAGATCCACGCCTGCAGAAGCATGAGACAACTAGCGATTGAATCGGCATCTTTTCTTGATGCCGTACCCAACTGGCGATACAGATATGCCAGAGCAGCTGAACCCCAAGAGTAGTCACTAATCTGCAGATCCTCAACAACAAGCTCGTTGAGGAAGGAAGGATGAGTGCGGTTACCACTCTTGTCCAAAAACAGACATCCGCCCAGTACTAACCACATGTAGGCACTGTAATGGACACTGAAGGGCCTCTGCTCCTCCAAGGTCGAGTCCATAATCCTCTCGGTCAGCATCCCACTACCCTGCCAAATGGTCTTCGTACCACACTTCTCGTTCAGCTCTTCCGCAGTCATGTCCAGGGTAACCTGGCACGCGTCCCGTATGACGTCCGTGCTAGGAATAGTGGAAACCATGGATCCATCAACACGAAGCCCAAGAATATGGTACACATCGTGCAGCATGATCGTGATCTCCCCAAATGGCATATGAAAGGTGTTCGTATCTGGCTGCCATCTCTCAACAAACGCAGAAATCAACGGCAAGTCAAAATGCCTAAACATGATCCCTGGTAAGTGAGACAGACCACTACCGTCAATCAGCTCCAGATGCTCTTGTGCAAGACGGCCTCGCCAGGTAACCAATGCAGAATACAACTGTGTCCTGCTCAAACAGCGTAAAACATTACGCTCCTGCCCGCCCCCAAATATACGCAGCCACGTGACCACCAAAACTGGGGATAACAGTACCATCCTCAGGACCACCTAGCATCGGCTGCTGAACTACCCATGCCTCTGCTGAGCTGATGGAAGGCTGACTCGCCTGACTGCTACTCACAAATCGCCCTTGCTGACCCCTATGCACCGTATGATAATCCTGAGGGTCGTACTCTTTATCTCGATCTGCCTGGCTTGCCCGCTCATCGTCCTTCTCGTCAGATGTCGGCACTTGGCCTGACGAGTACATGGGGGGGATCTCTTGCGACTGATGCTCCCCCGACCACATCCCAGCAGACCCATATTGCTGCTCATGATTATACGGTGCCCCCGTATTTACCGAACGACCCGACTCCCTCCTAATAGACGCATTCAAATGTCTTGATACTGCATGACGAGGACCCGAACCCTCAATCTACATTAAATAAATACAAAATCAAATATCAGTAATAATTACAAATATAACCATGATATTAAAGTTGAACAACTAATATTCAAATTCAAAAAAATAATTTCAAAACAATAATAAACCAAATCGAAATAAACAATAATAACAACATTACCAAGGATCAATAATAACTACTAATAATTTGAAAACAATAATAATAAACCTAATAAAAACAATAATAAAACACAAAATCGGCAACATTACAACACAACAACAACAACAACAACAACAACAACAACAACAATAACAATGGTAATAACAACAACAATAATAATTTCAATCAATTTTTTATAAAATTTTAATCACGAAAAAATTACATAACAACAATACATAACAATAACAACAAAAAAATAAAAAATATACATATCAATAATCACGAGGGAAAAAAAATTCCAAACTTAATAAAAAACATCATACATAACAATTACACATAACAATAACAATAAAAAAAATAAAATTATATTAGTAAAAAAAAATACATATCAATAATCACGAGGGATAAAAAATTCCAAAATTAATAAAAAACATATACATAACAATAATGCATAACAATAACAATAAAATAAATAAAATTATATTACTCAAAAAAAAAAAGAAATAAATTCATCACGAAAAACATGAAAAAAAAATCACGACAAAAAAAAAAAAAAAAAAAAAAAAATCAGAAACCCAGACTTCCGCCTGAAAAATTCGGAAGTCTGGGGGAACTTCCGGAAATTTCAGGCGGAAGTACCACATCCGCCTGAAATTTCCGGAAGTTCCACCAAACTTCTGGATTTTTCAGGCGGAAGTCTGGGTTTTCGAAATTTTTTTTTTTTTTCAAAATCAGAAACAATTTTTTTTTTTTAATTTCTGACTTTTTTTTTAGAGTGAGAAAATTTTAGAGAGAGATTGTGTAGGTTGTGAAATGACTTGTGAGTGTCGGAAGTTAGTTTCACGAGTATTTATATATGAGGGGCAAATTAGGAAATTCAAGTCAAAAATACGAGCGTCACCTTATAATTTGCGAACGACGTTTAACACGAAATGGACCTAAGATATTTGATGTGCCAAGCCAAACTACTTCATTGTTGCTACTCCGTACATGCTACCCTTGGAAACTTGGAAATGCTCTTGCCTTCACTTGTACTTAACCCGGTTACCAAAAACACCCCACTAGAAGCAGAGTTAGGAACTTTCACATTTCTACCATTAAAAAAATAAAATAAAATTAAAAATCTCACATTTCTTCCATAAAATAATAAAACTTCCAAAAATAAAAATAAAAAAGATTAACGGGTAGAAAAACTCACTACCACCACCCTCCACCAATAAAACCATTCCTCCTCACACTCACAGTGTCTCTTTCTCACTTACCCTTTTTTGCTCCTTTCTTTCTCTCTCATTCATTCTTCTCCAACATTCTTTTTCTTTTGCTCAGAAATTTGCATGGTTTAGGAGGGTTTAGTATCATCACTTAAACAATAAACCTTCTTTTTATGTACACAATAAAAGTAAAAATAATGGGGTGTTTTAGAAATAGGTTAATTTCAACATTATTGCTAATTTTTTGTATTTTTAAGGAGATAATTGCTAATTCTGAGGTAATTAGTAATAATAATCTACCCATAATCTCATTTGATGAAGGTTATTCCCATCTCTTTGGAGATGATAATCTTATGGTTATTAGAGATGGAAAATCTGTTCTTCTTTCTCTTGATGAAAGAACAGGCATGGTTCTTTAACTCTCTAATTTTCTGGGTTTTTTTATTTAATTTTTTATTTTTATTTTTGGTAATATTTGGTAATTTTTCTAATATTTTCTGTTAAAAAATTATATGCCCAGGTTCTGGATTTATGTCACATGACCTCTACTTACATGGGTTTTTCAGTGCTTCGATTAAATTACCTTCTGATTATACTGCAGGGATTGTCGTTGCCTTCTATGTAAGTTATTTTTTTTAAATAATATTTTTTTATTGGAAATGTTCCCCTGTTTATTTTTGTTGATTATTGAGTTGTATTCTTGCTTAAATTAATCTGCAATTTTTTTGGTAGAAGTTTCTAGTAGTATATTGCTAAATGGGTTTTTATTAATTGATGATTTTAAGCTCTGATTATGATAATTACTGTAGTAATTAGTAAAATTTCATAAATGTTGAGTCTTGGTTAATTAAATTTCATTTATGCAGTAATTTAATTAATCATAATTACATCTTGTATCAGAAGTTACTAATCCTAGTAAATTTGAAGTTATAATCATCTTGGTCTATGAGCTGAGTGTTAATTTTTTCAGAAACAGAACACTTGTTTTACAATGATTATTAATTTTTCATATAATATATATATGTGATTATGTCAATGATTTCAGCAACTAGCTGGTAGACTAGAAATGCATAGCAGGAGTGTTTATTTGTGGGTTTATTTCGATTTTCAGATGTCTAATGGTGATATGTATGAGAGAAATCACGATGAAATCGATTTCGAGTTCTTAGGGAACATCCGAGGCAAGGAATGGAGGGTTCAGACCAATGTGTATGGAAACGGTAGTACGAGTGTAGGGAGAGAAGAGAGATACACCTTGTGGTTCGATCCTGCGGAGGAATTTCATCGTTACAGCATTCTTTGGACAGAGGATCAAATAATGTAATCCCTTTTTTCTCTTTGATTCTATTTGTTTATTGGGCGTGTTGTGTGTGTCTTGTTCGTTTTGTAACCTATCATGCTGACGTCCTTCACATTGTCAACTTTACTTTATTTTTTGATAGTTCTTTTGTGTTAGTAGTGAATACAATTGCTGAAATTTGAAAACAACAAAAGAGCAGGATTAGTTTTAGTATGGAGTATGTAGTTAGATTACATCATATCACTATTGATAATGACTTAATTTGGAATGTCAATTACTAGCAGACAACTGTTAAGCACTTCTACTTATTATTTCGGCTCTAAAGTTTTGATTAATCAATAGGCTAAAAAAGTTTTCTTTCTCATCAATGGAGAACTAATTCCTGAGAAGCAGAATGTGGCAATTTATTCGGTCCGATTATCTTCATGATATGGTGTAAGTGGTGTGAAAAATTCTGGTCTTAGTCTCTTACAGGCCCAGGACATACTGATATTTTTATCGTGTATTCGTATGTCATGATCGTATAGGTGGAAATTCCGAGTCACGTTTGGTGGTTTCTTCCTGGACTTTAGCATAGCTTTAGATATTATTGATGTTATATCTTGTTGGCAACTTGAAATTTATCTGGTGTTTGATGTAGTATCCCCTACCTCTTTTTTTTTCGAGGGGCGCTTCTCATATGGTTTTCTGTGGTCTATGCTGATCTTTTTTAAGATACCTCTCTGGCAATTGTTTCCTTCTGCCTCAACATGGACCTAGAGAATATTGGACCCTCATCTAATTTCATGACTTTATATGCTTTTTATTTCCATGTCATTTATATATTCCACTAAGTTCCAATATATTGAAAATGTACAGCTCGAAAAGCATCAAAATGATATTATTGTTTGTGATGTTTACTATTTTGATGTTATATCATAGTTCTTCCAATCCATTGCAGATTTTATGTGGATGATGTTCCCATTAGGGAGATAAACAGGACAGCAGCAATGAAGCGTGATTTCCCTTCGAAACCTATGTCATTGTATGCTACAATATGGGATGCCTCAACTTGGGCCACCAATGGTGGGAAGTATAAAGTGGACTATAGGTATGCCCCTTATGTTGCTCAATTCTCCGACCTTGTTCTCCATGGTTGTGCCGTTGATCCAATAGAACGGTCTCGAAAATGTGATGATATTTCATTGATTGATGGCTCAATACCAAGTGGCATCACCCCTTCACAAAGGATTAAGATGGCAAATTATAGGAAGAAATATTTGACCTACTCGTATTGTTATGACAAGGCCCGGTACAAGACTCCTCCTAGCGAGTGTATTCTTGATTCTCAGGAGGCCGACCGCTTGAAGAAATTCGACCCTGTCACATTTGGAGGAGGCCGCCGTCACCATGGGAGGCGTCATCACCACCGTGGTACCACCAAAAACGCCAAGGCTTCGATTTAAGTGGATAGATTATCATATCACACACCATTGCTAGCCACAATTTCTCCTACTAGATTATGGAGTATTATTTTTGGTCCATGGATGTTGGTCTCATATCTCATTAATGTTTATTTTGGATAATATTTGTCTTTAGGGGTCTTATCTTTGGTTCACATGAACATAGAGGAAAAAGACAAAAAATAAGAAAAAAAAAAAAAAATGTAACAGGCGCATAAATATGTTAATGGGTTAGGTATCAAGTTTTAATATTATAGTGGGTTCATCATATGGTATGTAAATAATTGTTTCATTGTTGTTGGATTTTGTTTGACGATATGGCCATTCTTGGCTTTTGTTCCTTCATAATTTTATTATTTTCTTTTTAAATATCGTAAGGTCGGTCGTATTGTGTATTTGTGTTTATGTCTTGTGATTTTAATAAATTTTTAGCGTCTTATGTTGATTCCTTTGGTCAATAAATACGACAATATTCTTAGATCACAGAATATTTGATTGCAAGTGTATGTTTTTCTGTTTTCTTTTATTCTATATATTTATTGAGTTTGCCCTTCTTAATCTAGTGTGTGCAACATTTTGTTATAATTGTTACTCCATGTTTATGTTGATTGCCCACTAGCTTAGTAATAGATCAATTTTCATCGTCATCAATATTACTTTAACTCGTGTGTAGAATTTTGGTATACTCCGTACTTGTTACTCCCTCCACAGTTCACCCTTTTTCATTGCTTCATAGCGAAAAATTCATTTTATTAAGAGTAGTGAGGCAAAATTATGCACATAATGTTGCGAATGTGATTTAATTTATACATAGGATGCATGATTTCATTGTGGGTTGCAAGTCGTGTTGATGAAGAGAGAAGGGAAGAGCAAAGTGGGGTTGCAAGTGAAAAATTTACTAAATAAGACAATGGAGCAATCTCAAAGAAACATTTTAAAGAGGAATGCCGGACAATCCAAATGAGACAGTGGAAGTAAGCATGATTTCATTGTGCACACGGGGTTGCAACACTTGCAACTCGTGTTGACGACAGAGATGGAGAGAGCAAAGTAGGGTTGCAAGTAAAAAGTTTACTAAATAAAACAATGGAGCAATCTCAAAGAACTCGATCTAAATGAGACAGAGGGAGTACTCAATATGTATTTCAATTGTCAAATAAATTTGTCATTGTTATACCTAAGACATTAAATCATCAGATTAATTTCTGCGGGTTTTAATATTACTCCCCTTTATGACTTGCAATGCACCAAATATAATTTATGTTAGTTGATGATAACTTTTGTCGTGAGTTTGTCAAATCATGCTAAAACGTTTTCGGTGCAAAGTTTAAATAGTGGGATCCGAGGTAGGTTAACCAAAATTTGAATGCTTAAAAGTAAAATGGTGAATGGGGTCGACAATAGGACGTTTTATTAGTAGGGCGTGGGCCAAAGTAATGGGATTTTAATAAAATGAAAGAATAACATTTATGTATGATGATGATGTTGGTTTGCATGGATCGGCTTATGATTAATTCTAGTGGAACATTATTTTCTTTTGGATTTCCTTTTTAGGTAATAGGTCCACTCTTTAGTCTATTTTGACATTTTTGAAAATGGTACTACACTAAAATGTGGAATTAGTTATGGAGTTATGATGGGTTTTCTCTTTAAAAAGATTTAAATGGATGTTTTTAGAACATGGAATTTGATGTAGAAGCCAAATAACCAGGTTAAAGTTTTTAGAGGTGATACTTAAAATGTAAAATCAATTACATTTTACGTAGTCATTACTTGTAATAACAAAAAAAATGCTAATTATGTATGGATTGTAATTTAAAAAAATAAAAAAAAAATTCAAACATGCTAAAGAGTGTTTATATTACTCTGTACAAGTATGAATCAATTTATTAGGAAGATGCAAAAGAAGTTCCTGTATCATGTATAAAAAAGACTTAGAAACAAGTCAAATCATGCATAATTTTTGGTAAAATAGTGTATTTTGGGCTTGTTCTCTTCTTCTTATTTTTACAGAACTGAAATTAATAATACTGTGCTAAAAAATATTATTATTATTTTTTATTGATTTTCTATTTCTTTAATTTACTGATTTTAAATGAATTGAAATTATTTTAAATTAATTTATTTATTTTTTTATTTTTAACCAAATATTATTTTTCTAGGTGAAAAGAACCAGGCCTTAATTTGTTGAAAATAATTAGATTTAATTTAGGGCATGTTATGTTCACTTGATTTTATAAACTTCTGTTAAGTTCATATAAAATAGGTTCAAAAAAAAAAGTTATGATAAGGGTCATCGAAATTCAAATATTAAGTTAAGAAAATTTCATGGAAGTCGGGGTGGCGGGAGTTTCGGCAATGCAATGGCCAGCAGAGGGATTGGGGCTGGGCCTGCAATGGCTGGTGGGGGAGGGGGCTGGGTCTGCAGTGTTTGATGGCTAGCAGAGGAGGGGTATTTTTAATTTTTTTTAAAATTTAATCAATCGCAATGCGACACGTGTTTGCTTTAACCTATTAAATAAGATACTAATATGTCACTTACTATTTAAAACGGATATCACTAAAGGTCATATTATTATGATATATTCAAAAGGTCATTTTATTTTTGTTATACCAACCAAAGGTCATATTATTCTTGATAAATTTTCCTTAAATAAAATATTGTCTCATAAATTACAAGTAAATGCTATATGGATGATTTTGTTTCATGAATATTAAATTTGTTGGGTAATTAAATTAGGAGGTTATTTTAGAATGTGTCAAAAATTCTTCCCCCCCCCCCCAAAAAAAAAATAAAATAAAATAAAAAATAAAAAATAATGTGTCAAAAAAATTTAAGTAAAAATATGTATCTTTATTAGGTTATAAATCATATTTTTAAAGGAAAAATTTAATGTTTTCCTTTATTTACTTACAAAAAATTTTATTTCCCAACGGAAAATTCTTTTTTGTTTTTAATTGAGAGATATTATGCACTGGTTGATATGATTGTGTGAATCACACATTACCATATAGTCAAATTACTCAAATATATTTTTAAGGTAATTAATTAAGGATGATTTGGGATATGGATATTGAAGATATGGTATTGTATGTAAGTTAAAAAAAAAAACATGTCTAGGTACTTTTAGTTGTAATTAAAATATGATATTTGTTTATCTCATTAAAAGCTTACATAATTTCCCAAAAAAGGCAAATTAAGAGATGATATATATCATTGTTGATTTGCCTTTTAGCATATAGTTTTAGGGCGTTGATATTGACAAGGAAAAAAGCCACTTTCAAGGCAAATTATCTACCCGATATTCGTAATATTTGAGAATCTAAATATGTCAAACTTATTAATTTAATAAAATAATTTGTAATATTTTGTTGCCTATAATATTAGTATCCCAATATTTTTTTATTTTATTTTTGGGTAGTCTTATTTATTGGGTTCGTTTATACATACATGTATATATTTTTGTATACATTTTGGTAAAGATATGCAAAATTATTCTTATTTGTTCCCGTTATTGTCTGCACTACATACCACTATTACATGCATGCAGTACTTGTTGATTGGTTAGATTGATTGTTCTCCATTTCTTATCATGTAGGTGGTTTTTATACTCTTGTAATTATTAGTTTTTAACGATATATGAAGCTTTTTTTTTTTTTTTTTTTTTTTAAAAAAAAAAAAATTAACATTTGACTAACTACTATATTTATAATGACTACTTGACTAGCTATGTTTATCGTCTACTATTTTTAAATCTTTGCTATGTAATATTTGAGGGTTTTTTTTTTCTTCGTTTGATCGAATGATTCACTGCAATTCTTGTTTATTTTTTTTTATTTATTTATATAAATGCTGGACCATTTTCGTAGCTACTGGAAGTTTTGGTTCATATCCATCATTACAATCATCAATTCAACTTTTGATTATATTTTGATTATTAGAATGCATTAATTAACATTAGGGATGTCAGTGGGGCGGGTCTAGTAGGAGACCCGCCCCATCCCCACCCCGATGGGGCAGGGATGGGTCTAGCTTTGGCGGGTCGCGGGGCGGGGATGGGTCTAAAATCCATACCCGCCATGGGTGATGGGGCGGGGGTGGATTTAAAGTAATACCCGCCCCATCCCCGCCCCGCCCCGCCTGACCCACCCCATACCCGCCCCGCCCCGCCCCGCCTGACCAACCCCACACCTGACCCATACCCGCATTATACCCGACCCGTCCCATATAATGCAATAACATATTTCGTTAAATATTATACAGCAAAAAAAAATGTTACTGACTTGATTAAGGAAGTCTCTAGACACTAGACTTCTAGAAGAAAAAAAAAAAAAAAAACCATATTCATTTTCATTCTCAACCCTAGCCGACACTATCACTCATTCACTCTCCTCTCCTCTCCTCTCCTCTCAAGCTCTATCAATCAGACAATCACCACCTCTGAATCTCGCCGCTGAGTTGTGCGCTGATCAACACTCCGATCTACATAATCCCTACCTCTTCCTATATAATCGGTACTATCTCAATCTCTCTTACTCGTTTTTTTTATTTATTTTAATTTCCCAATTATTTTTTCCCCAATTATTGATGAAAAAGAATTTGACAAATCAACTAAGAAATTGATTAGCCATAATTCTGTCCTAGATTCTAACTAATCTATTTCTGAATGTTTAATTTGACTCTAATTCGTCTGATACTTTGAATTGTTTGGTGTTATGATTTATGAGTTACTACAAATTTTAGTTTATAGGATATACATGTTGCTAATTTGCTACTCCGAGTATAATGTAATTACTTGTACTTTTGAGTTGCATGATATTGATATTAGTTTAGAAAATGTTTTGATAATTTCATTTAATTTGAAGTTCTGGACAGAGGGCATACTTTTATTTTTATTACCCTTGTTCTGGTCTCTTTAATTGTGGGTGGTTATAAATCTTATTTAATTAATAATATTATTATTATTTTTTTTAATTAAGTCACATTGAATTTTCAGATTGTAGAGAATACAAGGATGATGAATATGCTAAATTGGTGGGAGAATTAGTGGAAGAATTTGAAACATGAGATATCGATTCCAGTACAAGTGAAGTTTGCACTACACAGAATAATTGAAGGCTTAGAGTTATTATTATGTATTTTTAATATTTGGACTTTAGACAATTTAGAGTTACATTTATTTGTTTAGAGTGTATTATATTAGTTACTGTGTTTTTTTTTTAATTATGTTAAGTATGTACTGCTAATTTTTTTTTATTTTTTATTTGAGCTGTTAACTGTAGGCCTGTAGACTGTAGTACATATTTTTTTATTTTTTTTATAATGGTTTAAATATGTTATTTGTGGTGGATTTAAGGTGGGGAGTTGGCGGGTACGGGGCGGGGATTACGTGGGGTTGAGACGGGGATGGATATCCACGTGGTGATGGGGCGGGGGTGGTTTTGGAGTTGGACCCGCCGGGGCGGGGATGGGGATAATTTTCAGACCCGCCGTGGGGATGGGGACGGGGATGGGGATGGAAATGTGAGGCGGGGATGGGGATGGGAATGCAAAAACCCGCCCCGCCCCGCCCCGTTGACATCCCTAATTAACATAAAGCATATGTGCATGCATGTAGTAGTGGTATGTAGTGCAAACAATGAAGGGGAACAAATAAGAATTTTGCATATCTGTACCAAAATATATAGTTCATATATAAACGAACCCAATAAATAAGACTACCCAAAAATAAAGAAAAAAAATATTGGGATACTAATATTGTAGGCAACAATATATTACAAATTATTTTATTGAATTAATAAGTTTGACATATTTAGATTCTCAAAATATTAATGGTATCGGGTAGATAATTTGTCTTGAAAGTGATTTTTTTTTTGCCTTGCCAATATCAGCGCCCTAGTTTTATTGATGATTAATTGATTTTTTGTTGATTTTTTTGGGGTATCTGAGATTAAATTTGTTGGCTCTGTTCACTTCACTATATTTTTGCTAAAATGAAATTATTTTTACTGAACTAAAATTATTTTTGCTGAACTTAAATTATTTTTATTGAACTTAAATTAATTTTACTAAACTGATATTATTTTTGCTGAACTGAATTATTTTTTACTGATTTTCTATTACATTTTTTCTTTAAGGTTTTACTGAACTAAAGGTATTTTTAATGAATTGAAATTAATTTTACTGAACTGAACTGAATTTATTTTTACTGAACTGAAATTATTTCCACTGAATATTATTTTTTTTAAGTTGAAATGAAATGGGCCTTAATGGACGTGCCTCTACTTAAAAACAATATTATGGACTTTGGGCTGAATACAGGTCCCAATAACCTTATACAATAATCCTTGGTCAACTATCCATTTTGGTGATAGTGCCCAAATTAGTGGGCCTCATGTCCAACAAATTCCTATGAATGTAAAATCAAAAATGAAATTACAATACCATCTCTTCACAAATTCCTATGAATGTAAAATCAAAAATGAAATTACAGTACCATCTCTTCTTTTTATATTTTCACAGACAGCAGAAACAGTAAGCAGCTCAACAACACAGAATCAGCTCAACAGCTAGCAGCCAGCATAGAAACAGAAACAGCAGAAACAGAAACAACACAACAGACACAGAAGCAGCAACAGAAACAGACAACATACATAGAAATAGCAACAGAAACAGCACAACAGCAAGCAGCCAGCACAACAACACAGAAACAGCAAGTAGCACAGCAACACAGAAATAGCACGCAGCACAGCAACACAGAAACAACAAGCAGCATAGCAGATCAGAAACAGCACAGCAGCATAGCAACACAGAAACAACAAGCAGCACAGCAGATCAGAAACAGCACAGCAGCATAGCAAAACAGAAACAGCAAGCACAACAGAAACGAAGAAACAGTCATTTTTTCTCTATATTTATCGAGCTATCTTATTATCAAGTCAACGCTTACAAAGAACTAAACAAATTACAAAGAACTAAATACTTATCAGCCCCATTCCTGGTAATATATAAGTCCTAGGCATAATGTAAGAAAAGGGCTCCTTGTATGACTAAATTTTTTTTTATTCACAATAAATTTAAATAAAAGACAAAGAAAAACAACACTTTTATTTAACATTTGGTGATAGAAGAACTATTTTTGCTGCTATTTGGTGATAGATGAACTATTTTTGTTGCTATTTATCTTGTTCAATATCATAACTGTTGCCATAATATTAATTAGCCAAAATTAAAGGGGATAAATTTCGGTAATTGAAGGATATGTGAGCGGTGTAATTGGAAAATTTTGTATTTTGAGAGCTGTTATTCATGAAAACTAGAGAATAAGGAGGTGAAGAGGTGAGAAAACATTGTAAACTAGATGAAAACCCGTGCGATGCACAGTTTTTTCATTTAAGATTTTTAATTATTTGATTTATTGTATTTAATAATTTCAGACAAAATTACAAAAGTTTAATATTTTTTTTTACTATAATTTATAATAAATTTATTAAATATAAATAAATTGTAAATATGATAATTTTTTCCGTTATATAAAATCTTTAATGTGAAATGATAATTTTTTAATAATTTAAAACCTAAATCATTATTCATTGTTTTACCGTATCTTTTATTTCGATAGAATCACCAACCTTGTCCATAACCAACCTACTACATCAATGGATAAATTGAACCGTGAAATGTTAGCCAAACTGAAATTGATATAAATTAAATCTTTACACTTATATAAATTAAATCAATATATTTACCAATAAATGAAAAATTGTTGCGATATAAAATCAAAGCTATGCATTGGAATTTTTTCATCATCTCCAAAAATAATCAAAGCCATCCATATATTAAGTATACAACATCTAATCGTATGCCATTACATAAACAAATAATCGTTAAGTATCCTAAATAAATACAATGTAACTAATAATTACAAATATAAATTTAAACATAATATTTTAAAAATAACCCTGACATTGATGACCTAAAAGGCTAAAACTAACACAAAATTCGCTTGATAGGGTTTTGTATTGATACGAAATTTTATTTGTGTCGTATGATGTGTTAGATCTGCATGTAAAAAAACATTTAGTAAATAAAACATAAACATATAATCATTGAGTATCCCAATTAATACAATGTACGTAATAATTAGGGAATACTAATTTAAACATAGGATTTTAAAAATTAAGCTAAAAATTACCCGGCCATTGATGACTAAAAATTAACACAAAATTACTAACACAAAATTCGCTTGATGGGGTTTTTTATTGATACGAAATTTTGTTTGTGTCTTATGATGTGTCAATTTATAATGGTAGGTATCACAAATTTTAATTTAATTATAATTAACGAACAATTTGTATTTCTTATCATAAATACTATCAAAATTTATCTTATAATGATAGGTATTAAACTTTATTATAAGCGATTATTATTTAAATATTTCTTAGTATATTTTTTGGATTTCTTATACTCGTAATATTGAATTAATAAATTTATCTTTTCCTATATTTTTACTTTATTTTTTTTCATTAAAATAATTTGATTCGTGGATTATAATCTACGTGACATTAAAATTTTAGATATATCAAATCTATTTGGAGGAAATGGCGGCGGTCGGCGGGCGAGCAGTCTGGTGACAAGTTTTCAATCATCTTTGCTACGTGGACCTTGAGGAGGGCCAAAGATTTCTATTAGTGGTTTTTCAATTTGGAGGAAATGGAATTGGAGGACTAGAGGTTGATTGGATATGGATTATGGACCTTGCATTTTTGCCTTTTTTTGGAGCATATCAACAACCAAACTTATGAATCTTAAATGATACTAAGAATTGGGTCTTGAAATTTATTCTTGAGACAATTGGATAATATTAATGCCAAGAATCATATTAATAACCGAGACTTTTTCTCTCTAAAATCTTCTATTTTCTGCTATGGCGATGAAGAAGACGAAGAAGAATCTGCCTAGGGGGGAGGGAAATTCAAAGAAATCAGCTGGTTCTGATGAAATTGATGAGGCTAATCGATAAATAGCTCAATCGAAGAGCAGACCCAAGAATGATGTTAAGGGTTCTGTTCCGATTAATTTTGGGGAACTGGATAATTTGAAGGATTTGATGCTTTCACCGGAGCAATCCATGCTTGAGTTGATCCAAGGATCTAGAACTAAGTCCAGATTATCAGAATGGTTGAATGTGATGAAATCGAGTGATTTTGGGATCAATCGAAGAGATTCAGGTGTAGTGTAAAACAAAGCATCTTCTGCGAAGGTACCCATTTCTTCTGAAAGCTTAAATTCTAGCAATTCTATGCGGCTGCAATTGTCTTTTGATGATGTTTCTGATGAAATTGCATATTGGAATATAAGTATTGTTGCCTTTGTGATTGGGGGTAACCCTTTTGTGAACTCTTGTTCGAGTTTTTGCAATAGATTGTGGGGGGCTAAAAACATTGATAAGGTGATTCCTCTTAAGAAAGGGGTGTTCCTTATTAGATTTTTGAATGTGGAATCGAAGGAAAAAGCTCGAAATGCTTTACACGTGTTGTTTAATAATCGCGCTATTTTCATGAAACAATGGGAGGATGGAATGGAGGTGAATTGTGAAGAATTTACTACGATTCCTGTCTGGGTGCAGTTGCCTGGCCTGCCATTGAAATACTGGGGTAAGAATTGTTTGTAGAAGATGGTGGGATTAGTTGGCAAACCTGTTCAACCTGATAATTCTACCTGATTGAAAGACAGGGTTAATGTTGCTCGTTTCTTGATTGAGGTAGAAATTGATGGGGGAATTTCCTGACATGATTGAGTTTCTTTTTGAGAAGGGATGCTTGTACCAGCAGAAGGTGGAGTTTGAGTGGAAACCCATTAAATGCAATGTGTGTAGGCAATTGAGTCATGAGGATGGGAATTGCAAGAATGTGAGGAAGGTGTGGAGGCGGAAAGCTCAACCTGTCCAGGTGATGAAAGAACCTGAGTGAATGGAGGACAATCTGGTGAAGGGTAATGTTACAGTTGCAGAAGGTGAGGTTCATGGCTTAGGAAAAGGAGAGCAAGAAAAGTGGAAGACTATTACTAAGCAGAAGAGTGGAGCTGGACGAGGGTCTGGGCCTAGCTCTCTAGTGATGGTGAGCAACTCCTTCCATGAATTGCAGGCTTGCATAAGCTTTGGTGATGAAATTGAGGGTGTGGCCCCCACTCTAGGGCAGGAGGGTGATAATGGATAAAGTTCTCACCTAGAATGTGAGAGGCTTGAATAGTTTCTCAAAACAAAAGGAGGTGAAGAGTTTCATGTCTTAGAATAATGTAGGTTTATGTTGTTTACTTGAAACTAAGATTAGGATCTCTAATTTTCCTACTGTTCATAATCACCTTTTTCAAGGGTGGTGTGTGTCTTCGAATTTTTCTCTGGTGAAGGGAGGCAGAATTCTGATTGCTTGGCTTCTAGATTTTTTCCAGGTTCATATTCTTGTTTGTCATGCTCAATTTTTGCATATGAGGATGAGAAATATAGCTTTATCTTTGGAGTTTTATTGTACTGTTGTTTATGGTATGAATGATCCTAAGGAGCGAGATGAACTCTGTTGTTTGTTGAAGGATATAGGGAGTACAATAGTAGGCCCATGGATGATTACAGGTGATTTTAATTGTCCTCTCAACTTCACTAACAGGATTGGCAAGCCTATTACTCACTCTGAATTTGATGGGTTTAGAGATTGTGTGAATGCTTGTGGTGTTAGAGACATTAAGCAGATTGTTTGCACTTTTACTTGGAATAATAATCAAAAGGGCGACTGTAGAGTTTACTTTAAAATTGATAGAGTGCTTGGGAATGATGAGTGGTTTATGGCCTGCCCTGAGTCTTATGTTCATTATTTTCCTGAGATGTACTTTGATCATTGCCCTGGTTCATTACACTTGGATAATCTGAGTGCTCTTGCTAAGTACTCATTTAACTTTCTGGATATGTGAACTTCTCATCCTGAGTATCCTGAGATTGTGAGGAATGCTTAGAGTTTTGATGTTCGAGGTGTTGAGATGTATAAAGTGGTGAGTAAATTGAAGAATTTGAAGAAAAATTTGAGGAAGCTGCATAGAGCTGATTTTTCAGATAATGAGATTCAGTTTGCTAAGAGTAGACAGAATTTGGAACGGGCTCAATTGGCTGTTCAAGCTGATCTGAATAATAGTGACTTAAGGGAGGTTGGAAGGAAAAGTTTGGAGGAATTTTCTCAAATTAGAGCTCAATGTTTTTCTTTGTTGTCTCAGAAAGCAAAGATTAATTGGCTCAAAGTTGGTGTGAGAATACTAAGTTCTTTCAAAAGTGCATTAAATTGAAGAAGTACAGGAAAAGGGTGATTGCTGTAAAGGATGTTAATAATACTTGGTGTGATTCTGCTGATCAGATTTCTAAAGCTTTTGTTTCTTATTATAAGATGCTTCTTGGTTTAGACCTTGGTAATAGATTGAGTGTTCAATCTGAGGTTGTGAAGAGAGGGCATATTCTAGATGAGGCTCAAGGTTAGTTGCTAGATGCTCCTTTCACTAGAGTAGATGTTAAGAGAGCTATGCTCTCTATCCCTGGTAGTAAAGCTCCTGGTCCTAATGGGTACAATAGTACCTTTTTTAAGAGGTCTTAGGGTACTGTTGGTGATAAGATTACATATGCTATCTTGCAATTTTTTTGAGAATGGTAAGCTGTTGAAGGAAGTGAACAGTACCATCCTTACTCTGGTGCCTAAGGTTGACAATCCTAGTTCTGTGACTGACTTTAGACGCATTTCTTGCTCCAATGTCATTTATAAGTGTATCACTAAGATGATTTGTAGCAGGCTGAAGTTAGTCCTTTCTGATATTGTATCTCAGAATTAAACAGGTTTTGTTGAAGGAAGACAGATCATTCAGAACATCAACATTATTCAAGATCTTGCTACTAGGTATGGCAGGAAGAACACTCCTAGTGCTTGCTTGTTGAAGGTAAACATTAAGAAAGCTTATGATTCTGTGAAATGGGATTTCCTTGAAGAATGTTGTATGCTTTAAACTTCCCTAATAAGCTGCTTAAGTTGATCATGGTTTTTGTGAGGATCCCTTCTTTCACTTTGAGTATCAATGGGAGCTTGACTGGTTTATTTAAGGGGAAGAGAGGATTGAGACAAGGTGATCCTATGTCTCCTCTTCTTTTTGTCATCTATATAGAGTACTTGACCAGACTTCTCAAGCTTGTTGGAGATCAGCCTAGCTTTCAGTTTCATCCTAGGTGCAAAGGGTTAGGTTTGAACCACTTAGTTTTTGCTGATGATTTGATCATTTTTAGTAAGGGGGAGGATGCTTCAGTTAGCCTACTTCTAAGAGCTTTGGCTACCTTTGCAGCTACCTCTAGTTCGGTTGCTAATGAAGGGAAGTGTAGCATTCATTGCTGTAACATTGAGCAATATGTCAAGACTGGTAATATTCAGAATTCTGGGTTTAAGGAAGGTAAGCTTCCTTTTAAGTACGTAGGTGTTAATGTGAGCAACAAGAAACTCTCTAAGGATAACTGTCAATGCCTTGTTGATAAAATCACCAATAAAATCAAAAGTTGGGGTTGCAGAACTCTCTCCTATGCAGGTAGAGCGCAACTTGTTAATTCTGTCATGCTTTCCCTACACATTTATCGGGCAACTCCCAAAGCTGTCTTGGATGGAGTTGTTGCTATTTACAGGAACTATCTTTGGGATGGGAAGCTTGTGCATTCTAGAGCTCCTCCTATTGCTTGGGATATAGTATCACTACTAGAAAACAACCTAATTTCACGGACAGGTTTCGACGGACACAAAATTCGGTCGTAAAAGTCGAAATTTCCGACGGATTTATATTCCGTTGAATATTTCCGACGAATTCAACAATTCCATCGGAGATTTCTTACGGAAAATAAATCCATTGGAATATATGTACTTTCCGACGGATTTTTCCGTCGTAAAATACCATTTCCGACGGAATTTAAATCCTTTGAAAATTTTCGACGGAAATTCTGTCAGAATATAATTAAAAAAACAACTCTTTAAAGAAACCCTAAACCGTGCGTCACTCCATTCTCTTTCCGCCTCTCCTTTTCTTCTCCTTCTCTTTCTCTCTCTTCTTCTTCTTCTCTCTCCTTCTTCTTCTCCCTGTTGCGCCTCTTCTCTTTTTTTCTCTCTCCTCTTCTTCTCTCTCCTTCCTCTTCTCCCTGTTGCGCCTCATCTCCTTTCTCTCTTTCCTCTTCTCTTTCTCTCTTCTGTTCTATTCTATTCTTGATTGGTGGTGTTCACGACGCCCGGCGAGTGTGGTTGGTGGTGTTCAAGACGCCGGTGAGTGTGGTTAGTGGTGTTCAAGTCTGATTAGTGGTCAATTTATTTCTCGCCGATTTCTAGAAATTAATGGGTTTTAAGGTCAAATTCGACCATAAAAACTCTAAATCTAGAATTTTCATGGTCGAATTTGGCCTTTTTAAACCAAATTCAAGATGAAATTCAAAGTTAATTATGGTGTTAAGGTATGTTTTTCTTTTATTTTTTTTTTCTTGTCAGATCTAGTCCGGTTATTGGTGGTCAAAAATTTTTTTTTATTTTTTTTTTTATTTTTTGGGTTGTGGTGTCGTGGTGCGGCGGGATCTGGTGGTTTGGGTTAGTTGGTGGTTTCGTGGGTTGGTGGGGACGTGGTGGTTTGGGTGGCTGTGGTGGTTTGGGTTGGTTGGCCGGGGTAGGTGGGGATTCGTGGCTCGGTTGGGTAGCAGGGGGTTGGTATTTTGCTTTTTTTTTTTTCCTTTTTTTTTTTTACAAAATTAATTTAATTATTATTGTTAATTATCATTGTTATTATATAATTATTGGTGGAGTAGCGTGGTGGTGGGCGGTGGTGGTGGACAGGTGGTGGGCTGGGTTAGGGTAAGGTATTGGCGATGGGGGGTTGGTGCCGGTGGTGGTGCAAGGTGATATGCAATAAAATTAGTATCCAAACGAACTGAGCCCTTAATCACCGAACCAAATTTAATTAATTCGACCTTGGACTATAAATATACGGTCATAAAATACGATCCAAACTCCAATATCTTCGTAGTGGCTCAATAAGTTCGGGATTTATCATAAATTTGCAAATTCCTACAAAATAATACCCACTCTACAAAAAACACTAGAAAACGTATATTAGTAATAAAAATAGCTCCGTAGAATTCAAATAAGCACATATATGACCGTGGGACGAGAAATAAAAATATATATAAAATAGACTCATCAATCGACACATACTTTGTAATTAAGTATACGAATGCATACTTGTACACATACACTTCGTACTATATTGTAGACGCACTGTTGGTTACGTTTCTAGAGTTGTACTTCATTGTCTCCATGGGTCATAAAATCACAACAATTTTTATGTAAATATGATCTCTATTTTCCTAATGTTTTGGAGATTTTCACATCAAGGCTACTCCTCCATAAATTTGGAAATAAATCACTTTGATTTATCAGCTTTCACACTATGCATGCATGTCTAATCTTGAACAGAAATAAATCATTATCCATTTAATTATTATTACCCCCTTTTTTTTTTTCCTATATAATAGCCATAAAAGGATTACATTATATATAATCTTTCATTTGCATTATTCATCCCAAGGTTATCAAACATTTCCTAGGAAGAAATTAAAAATGACACCCACAAATTTCATTTTTTTCTTACACATTATTACTACTTTCATCATATTCCCTCAAACAACCTCATTTTCTTTGCCAATGATTCCCATAGACTCAAGTGAATTACAAATTGTGGCTCAAAGTTTCACCCCTCAACAACGCCACCAATTCCTTATGAATATTTCCTTGTCACGAACGTCGTCATTGTCTCCTAAAAGAAGGCACTCGAATTCAAGTACAAACTCGCTTGAATCCACCGTGTGGTGGAGGTTAAGCAATTTTTTCGTAACGCAAGTGTTCTTTGGCACAAGCTCAAATCTTTTCGGCCCTTATCTTCTTTTAGATAGTGGGGATGACAATACTTGGGTACAATGCGACGGATGCAATCCATGTTTCGAGGTAAGTGGTGGAAACCCTCGAGTTCAAGATTCACTAACGTATAAATTACTTAGCCCTGATGATCCGAGATGTGTACCTAGATACATTTATGATCAGTCATGTGGGTTCTTGAATGAATATATGGCCGGAGCAGTATCTTCCTCTGGTCCCATGGGCACGGACACGTTTTTATTCATTAATTCTCAAACCCAAAAGCCCGACTTTATTCAAGATCTGGCATTTGGGTGCGGTCTCATCAACAGGAACATCAACTTCGGGCAAAATGATGGGCCTCAAAATACAATTGCAGGGTTATTTGGGCTTTCACCCGGCCCAAGATCATTCCCTAACCAACTTGATGCCCAAATTCAAGGGAAGTTTTCCTTTTGTCTTACATCTTGGGCCGAGCCAAACCTTGGCAGATCTACAATGTATTTTGGTGATTCGGCCCAAAGTCAAGGGCCTAATGTCCAACAAATTCCTATGCATGCAAGAGAAAGATACCATCTATATTTTAGTGGTATAAGTGTAAACGGAAATAGACTCTCAATCGATCCTTCTATATGTGCGTTAACAGATGATGACGCTTCTAAAGGCACAGGGTTCTTCGTTGACTCTGGTGCACCAACCACAATACTACCTAAAACTGCATATCAAGCCCTACGTGCAGCAATGGTTGATTACTTTGCTCAATACGGTTGGCAGACTATCGGAGGACAAACCTTTGATCTATGCTACACGGCGACACCTAAAGAGGGTCAAAGCTTTCCGTCTGTGGTCTTTCACTTTTCGAAAGGAGACCAAGGAGGGGAGGTCGATTGGACAATGGACAAGGACAACATGTTTGTTAGGTTCGATCAAATTGATGGTTTTTGTATGGTGGTCGGCGAAATTCCTGATCCAGGACCTTGCCTCCTTGGAGCGTATCAACTAGCAAACTTTAAGGTCTCATTTGACGTGAAAAATGGGATTTTTTCCTTTGCTCCTCAGAGATGCCAAGAGAATCTTTAGCTTCATTTTAAATCAAACTTGTTATTATTAGTGCAAATTAGTTTATGCTCATGGTGTGGTCTTAGGACAAAACTATAAAATGTTATGTTTAAAATAAATTAATTAAGCTATTTTGCTATATAATATGTACATATTCACAATTTAGGAATTATTCTACGATGACCGATTTGTTATTGAACTTGTGTGAGTTACCCTTTCCGGCCAAAAAGACACTCATCAAAAAATGCTCAAAAATCTTTTAATCAATCACCCCCTCTTGAATTACTTATATTCTTCATTAACTAGCATTATATGAACACAATACGTGAATTAATATATAAAATTATTTATGTCAAAAAATTTGAAGTGTAAAGAAATTACGATTTAGAGTTACTAAGTAGTATAAAGGCCCTAAAATATTGAAGACGACCCTATACATAGACATTTATCAATTTCTCAATAGTTCTATAATCATCTACTCCTAATTTATCCTCACGGTCAATATTTACAAGGTTAATTAACAATAAATAATGATCCTCTGCATTATTAGCTACGTACTCCGTAGTAAGAAGCATTAGAGCAAATTAAAATCAATGCCAGAAAATATTTACGCAGTTTAAAACTAACAACGAACTAGTTCAGCCGCCCTTGTCATTAAACCGGAAAAGTTTAGAAATGGTGGTACATATTATCCAAATTTCAGATCATTGTAGCCGTGATACTGAGACCGCGATATAACTTATCCTTGAGATCTTATTAAACGTAACCTTGATAAGTTCGTATCAATATGAATCTCTTAAATATCCAAATTTCAGATAATTCTATTAATACAAAATTAAAGATGAACTAGAAACAATTGGTAATAAGGAGTTATGTTCTGATCAACTTTGATCAGAATTTATTTGGTAAAATCTGATCTGTTAGTACAAGAATAAGTATTTGTAGGTACTAATCACGAGTAAGCGAATTTGTATGATGTTACGCAACGGTTCTTATAACATTTTTGTTGGGTCAGCCGGTCAGGTACATATTGGATTGAGTCTAAGCTCACTTATCCCAGGTAATTAAACACGGGCTCATTGTAGCCGCGATACTGAGACCACGAGTTCAGAAGGAGGTAGTTCTATTACTCCATTCACCTTGCAGCACCTAAATTTGGATTTCAATCTTAAATGTAAAGCTCGTTATGTAGGTCATGTAACCGAGCTCTTTTAGGCTTTTAGCTACTAAAACTGCGTTTTGATACAACATGCAATTATATGACCCATAGTTTCTGATTACTTCCAAACCACAAATGCTAACTAGAGAGCAAGCGGCCTTAAAAATGTCACTGTCAACAGTAATACAGGTTTAATGAAAAACTGTGTGATGCCCAGTAAGTTGCTCCCGGAACCTTCTCACCATTGCAGGGAATATAATGATACATGATTTATTCTATACTGGAGGGAAAAGCAGGAACAGAAACAAGGGGATAAACCAAGAGCATTGGCCCCCTGTAAAAATAAGATACATTGGCCTATAGGCCCTCTATTAACGGCTTTGCTCTACAAAAGCAGCCTCCAGTTTTGTAGCCTCGTGCCATTTGATTAAAAAAATGTTTACAGGTTCTCCGTGCTTACATAATAAATTACACAATTTGGTACAAAAGAATCACTTGGAAATATAATGAAAATACCTAATAATTCCGTCATTGCGTGCTCTTTGACAGGACTTCCTTCATTAGTTCCTTTGGGGCTGTATTTATAGGCAATACAAAAGTCAGCCAGGGCAGAAGAAACAGATCAGATGATCAGCAGAAACATAACAATAATATTAATCAATCAAGTGGAATCAAAGCATTCATAAAGGGTTGTTGCTTTAATATGGGATTGATATTTTGGTTAACTTTGCCAGAATCAATAATATAATCTTGCTTTCCCTTCCTCAAATAATTGTCGATGGCATAAGTTAAGAGAAGCAAGCATATCCTGTTATGAATCTTACCTGGCAAACCAGTGAACTTTTCATACTGTCTGAAGGCTTGATTAGCAAGCATTTCTGTTCCATATACAATAACGGCTCCTGTTTCTTGAGCTTCTTTAAGGAGTCTCGTTAATTTTGGTGTATAAACCGCATCAAAAACAAGAGCATAGTTCTTCAAAGCTTTCTGTGAAAGAACACATAGGAAAGGAACATGGTTCAACTTGATGGTGAATCAAAACTGAGCATGAACAAATGTAAAATATTCACATTACTGGAGAGCAGGAGACAAAGCAATATTTATGTACAGCTATCGCAGGATTCGCAGCTTTCATAATGCTACTATATCAGGCATAACCACATTTATGTCATATTTATAATGATGATTGCCAAATGCTGCAAATTTTTAAATAGGAAAAAATAGATAAATAAAAACAAACGACCTCCATGTCTACTCCAAAAATGGCTTAGTGTTGAGGTTGATGTAAGAATTTACCAGGATGGTACACAAAAGATGTCAATATCATATCATACTCTTCCATCCGGTGATCCAGATATTACAGTGATGTAGTTCCAACACCTCAAAATTCAGAACATTTTTTTTACTTGTAATACACTAAATTACTTTATTTCATCTTTATGGCTTGAGATAATTTGATAAACAATTACAGATAAGTTGATAAACAATAGGGCCAAGTAGGCAAAGGTCTCATAACAAATGAGTACCCAAGCACAACAGCCACTCAGTTTATACATGGGCACAGGACAAGCAAAGAATTATCTAATGGAAACGGAATTCCTAAGTCAGCACTCAGTGCTTAAGTTTATCTGATGAGATACACAGATCAGGGATACGGCTATAATGTGGGAAGAAAAAAGAAGTGTATGGTGGTGGTGGTGGAGGGAGAAAAGAGGGGGGGGGGGGGGCGTTGTACCTTAACGCATCACTATTCTGTCAATTGTCAACGCTTTTCCCAGGCATCTGATAAAAGATGACATTTTTTTGCCAAAGGTGGCTATTATTTCTGGACAAATGAGCAGTTTGTAGTGGTGGTGGTGGAGGGAGAAAAGAGGGGAGGGGGCGTTGTGCCTTAACGCATCACTATTTTGTCAAACGTAAACGCTTTTCCCAGGCATCTGATAAAAGGTGACATTTTTTTGCCAAAGGTGGCTATTCTTTCTGGACAAATGAGCAGTTTGTAGTAGGGGTGCTTATGAGACGAGACAACTCGCGAGCTACTCGAGTTCGAATCGGTCAAAACTCGACTCGAGTGAGCTCGACTCGAAATGTTAATGAGTCGAGTCGAGTCATTACTCGACTCGAAAGCTCGTGAGAAGCTCGAATTCCTTTATATAATATTATATTCACTAAAAATTAAAATATTTCAATAAATAAAACTTTTTTTTTACATTAATAATTAATAAATAAAACGTTATTTATGTACTCGTATCATCATATGTATATTTCTCAAATGAAAAAATTAAAGAGAATGAAGAGATGTTACACTAAATAGAGATTTCTACTAAGACGGATCAAATTGCAAGCTACTCGAAATCGACTTGGTCAAACTTCGACTCGGTCAAATTTGGTCAAAGCTCGGTCAAAACTCGACTCGATCAAGCTCAACTCGATATGTTAACGAATCGAGTCGAGCTACCCCAAACTCGAACTCGACTCGCATCCTAAGCACCCCTAGTTTGTAGCATCCATATTGCGATTGTTTTACTTCCTAAATAAATCCAGATATAGTAAACAATGGCTATACTTAAGGATAAGATTAGACGAGGGCACCATCTAAAACAAATCAACTAAGCCGTTAATAGTTGCATGATGCTCTTGATTATGATGAAAAGTCTAGTGGTCAAATGTCTGAAACATTACCCCTTCATTAGCAGAGCAACATGGGCTGTGATACAACAAACTACGACGATTATCACAGAAATCATTTTGTATCCCAGCAGCATAGGGCCATAGGCTACCATGATTCTTACAGAAATCAAATAAACAGGGACAGCATAGACTAAATAATTTACTGTTGAAACGATTAAATTTCCAGCAGAGCATAGGTAGAAATGACGGCATTTTAACAATACTTGAAAATAGCATAAGTAATAAAAGGTATATATGCATAAGAAAAAAGAGAGGGCTGAACCTTAGAAATAGGTGTTTCGGCTATTTTTGGTTTCATTCCAACAGATGTAGTATTTACAAGAATCATCCCTTCTTCTGGAGCAAAGTCATCTAGTTCGTCAAGACTGATAGCTTTTCCTCTAACGTTACTAGCTAAATCCACAGCACTTGCTGATATCAAACAACAAGAAAGCAGAAACCCCTTTAGTACAAAACCAGAGGTGTCAATATAATCTAAAAGAAAATACAAAAAACAAAGGTTGTGTAGTAGAGACCTTTATCAACACGTGATATCCAAAACAATTCTCATTCATTTCAAAGTTTCCTCTGAATTTAAAATAATAAAACATATATATAGAAAAAAAAATTATCCTTGAGTGCTTCAAAAGTTAAATATGGAAATCTTCTAACGTCAACCCAGTGACATAAAATTTATAAATTCCTTTCATTTTCTGCAGGAAAGACGATGTCTAGTATCTTTAACCAAAGAATGGCATCAAAATTATATTGTTTCCTCTACAAGTTTGAAGCCCACATACACATAAATTATATGCCTAGATTACCAGTAAACCACTGAGTTTACTGCAGTAAGAGTAATAATAAAAAAATTATGTAACTGAGTTTGTCAGCCAATGTAATGCATTAAGGAAAATACTTACCAAGTGTGCGATTAGCTATGACCACCTTAGCTCCTTTAGCTTTTCCACCATAGGCAAGTGCCTTTCCTGCACCACCAGCTCCAATAACAACAAAAACTTTATCTGCCAAGGGTGATCTTGGTGCAATACTTCCACCTTCTAGACTTGCAAAAGGAACAACGTATTGTTATATGATAGTGTGAGGAAAGTATTTAAGGGGATACATAAAATGTAATTGATTAATGAACCTTGTAATCCTTCTTCAATAGCTTCAATAGCTCCCACATAATCAAAATTGTAACCAGCCAATTTCCCATCGCTTGGTCTTTTAACCAAGCAATTCACGGCTTCAATTGCCTATAGAATTTGGGGAAAATCAGTTTCAACCAATAAACCATTAATTCGTGCTTTTAAGTGACAAGCATGGAGTGTAAAGACAACAGACTACGGTTCTGTTCTCTTCACCTATTTTAACTTACTTCATCTTTAATAAGTTCAAATTAGTTCTGATAAAATAAGAGCTAATAAGTTCAGATTAATGTGATTAGATAAGAACTAATTATAATTCATACTTTATACTCCCTCTGTTTTGCTGAGTGTTACTCAATTATTGTAACAACGCTTACCAAGGAAAAGTGAAAAATGGGGACCATGCATGTGGGTACTTTTGCTTTAAAGAGGAGAGAGATGGAGGGTTAGGGATTTATTAAATAAAACTGGGTCTACAAAGTGGGGTTGTAGGTGATTAAAAAATGAATAAAAGATTGCCATATAAGGAATAAAGTAAAAGTGGGTTGAGCTTAAAAAAACGGATGAAAACGGAAAGTGAGTAACACTTAGGAAAACGGAGGAAGTATAAGATAAGATAATATAATAAAATAAGATAAGGGTTGATAAATTCAGATACAATAATATAAAATAAGGGTTATTTAGTTCAAATTAAATAAGTTCAGGATTAATAAAATTAGATAAGATAAAATGAGTGACATTTAGGTGGAGATAACAATGCCTACAACCCTACACCAAATCAGATTTTGAAATGATGAATCTATGTAGCCCCTCACCTATATTTATTATTTAACCTCCCTAGAATAAAAATTGTAACTTAGTAGATCATAAAATAGCCAGACAATTGCACAATGATAACCAGATAGACACTAAAGAGGGAAGTCCATGAGAAGAGGAAAGGAGAAGCTCGTCCACTCTAAAGCTGTTAAAGTTTCCAAGCAACGACCATGGGAATCATAGTACGAACAGAATTTATACACAAAATTAAAGCCAAAGAGGGTTGGTATACCTTGGCTATGGGATCAACCTCTTCAGAGCACTCAAGTGCAGCCATCTTGTGAGGTATTGTGACACTGCACAATATGCATCATTGGATGAAAAATGTAGCATAGTATGAAATACCAAAAGAACTCTGTTTATTTGTTATCTAGAAAATGTAATGATTCATTAAATATGCCATTTCTGTCTAATTGCAAAAGGGTGACATAATGTCATAAGTTAATTAAATGACTAATTTTACATTGACTAGTGTGGACATCAGCCACGTCACAAAATATCACAAGTGGTGTGCCGAGATCTGATATATTTGTAGAGTTCATAATCAAGTTAATTAGAAAATTTCGTAAGAATTTTTTGGGACATAGACGTCTACAAATTAGCTTTCCCAAGGGTACATGAGATGTAGGGTTAGGAGTTTTGGAACTTACATAAACTATGATAGTAGTCAATGAGTAATTTGAAAGGTAGTGGTACCTGTATCCAACAAAATCAGTAGACGAATAGGTCTTCAAAAAGTTAGGTAAACTGTCCACCAGCAAAGGCAAATAGATTCCATCGAAGCCGACAGACTTAAATGCTGCATTAAACATATGCGGACTCTTACTATGGCCAACAGGATTCCCAACGACTCCAAATACTTTAGTATCAGGCCCTATACGTCTGAAATTATACAAATCCAAGAGGTCTTTTATAGTAGGTTGGCCAGGAGCTGAAATTGCTCCTTCCTCAAGGGTACCAAAAGTAAGATATCCACCAAATTTGGCACAAAGTATCCTTGACATCAATCCTTTCTCGCGCATAACAAGCCCGATCATTGGAACCTGTAAATGTAAAGGTAAAATTCAATCAAACACTCAACAGGATAATAAAATCAAATACGTAGTATAATGAAGAAGGTAATTCCCAATTTTGTACCATGTTAAAAAATTATGCTTCATAATATTTTGTAATACTGTAGATGAAATGATGTGGACTATTTTAAAACATATGGTCTGGTGTACAAATCAGAAACCTTGTCGTAAGGCACTAAGGCATGCATATAATCGCCCCCCTGCCTGTATGAAAATTGAACTTAGGGCATCATGTTAAAAGATGTAAGTAGGATCAGTGTTCTCCTTCCTAATTATATGACAGATGTTACACAAATAATCTGCATTTTGTAACACACCTGAGAATGTGTAAGTACTTGAAGAATACGTGCACAATCTGTAATATCTGTAGCGGTTGTTGCAATCTTTACAATGTCAGCTCCAGTTGCTTGTATCCTTGATACAAGATTTCCTATCTCTTCAACTGATGGTGTGCTTTGATAGTTATGAGAGGAAACAATAATTGCGGTTCTTGTAGGCTTCTTTCCACCAAAAGAGTCAAAGAACTCATCTGCTACCTACAAGAGGAAAATGATGAGACAATTTTTCTTTAGAAAGAATTCTTTACAAGCTTGATTTTCAAAAATTCAAGTTCCATCATCTAAACACAAACAACATAGGGAAACAAATAACCCATGTAAGTTAATGATAAACATAAATGCCATCCATGTGTAATAAAAAATCCTAAGATTCATTCTAATCAAGTCCTATTGGTAATTGGTGAGACTTGAGTCAAGAGCTTAAGGAACACAATAGCTCTTTGATAAACATTATTTTAAAATACCCTACTAATGAGTACTTCATAAGATATAGTGCCATACAGCATGTAAAGTCAGAGAAAGTGTATAATTCCCTTTACTTGCTTTATGTAAAGATAATCACAATATTAGAGGTCCAAAAAATAAATTCATTCTATTTCTACATGTGCTTTTAGGTTTCAAATGTGTATCATGGTTCTCAATAGGGAAATAAAAAGTAAATAAATAAATAAATATAAATTCATTGACCTTGTAATGTCCTTACCTTATTTTAGGAACTTACTACCTCCAAATTTTTTTCCTTTTCAATCTACACACTTTGCCTATTTGCATTATTCACATACTCATCCTGACCAATGTTTGTAATTTATACGTAAAGAATACATAATTAAGTAATATCTTGTTAAATTAGACTCGATTTATACTTTCAAAGTATCAAGTTTTTATAAATTTATATATAATCAAATATACTAATGGTCAAAGTTGTGAGATGGCAACTTGGGAACCATTAAAGTTAAACTATGGAAAAAAAATAGTCAGAGTTTTATTTCATCTTACTAGAATCAAACCATACTAAGCCACAGAGATCCAAATTCAGTCATATCTACTTATTATTGTTTACTTGGTACAGATTTATTAAATAGTGTATTAGTAAAATTAGATATTTGAAAAATACACAGAGACAAACCTATAAAGATCCCACGTGATAATGCTTTTCTCAGAAATTAGAGCCAAAATATGGTTTAAGTTTAGTCAAACCAAACCACATCAGAAACAACACCTTATTTAGGTGAAAACTGAAATGATAATGGCCAAATTGGACTACTTAATTTATGGGACAGATGGCATCATCTATCTAAAACATTGTTGTTCATCTTTATCCTTGTATCCTAGCCAAAGATGCTCGAGTCTCTTACATTATCTTTAAGACTAGAGCAATGAGGTATATAAAGTACTAAGTATGCAACTCTATTGTTCATATATAAACATCTTTTACGTTTTGTTGCATTCAATTACTCAAATCAGCTAAACATACCTCCCACGTCAACATGTCAACAACATGAAAACTTATATAATACAAATTTAGATCTACAATAAACAAAAGACAAAGGATAGTATAACCTTAAGCTCGACATCTATATAGTCAGCTCCTAGTTCCATGGCTCTGTACAACGCACTCCTTCGCTTGCTTTCATCACCATCATACTGACCACCTTCCCATGTAGGTCTATAAACCATATGAACAATCATAAATGTTTATGAAAATGTTGTTTGTATTTTATTACTTGATTTATGAATTAGAAATCATTTTTACATTATACTATTACTTTGTTTTCCCTTCCATAAAAAAAATAAAAAAATAAAAAAAAAATAAAAAGAGAGAAAAGCACACTACACATCCAAATATAATGTAATAAAATTAGAACTAGTTATTTCACGTCGCTGAAATGAAATTGTCAAAGACATATAGGCTGAGTAAAGGATAGCATCTGCCTCATCTAAGCATGCATCTTCACCACTCTATTGAAACGATTCGTTTGCACTCTCCATAATAATTGACATGGCAGGTTTCATTTATGAAAATAAAGGTGGAGATCCTACATAGATTGCACATACACACCATCAAAGACTCAACCAATCATAATCAATAATCAGTATTCACCAAATGTAAATAATTATCTCTCCCTAATTCAAAAATGACATCCTTTGACAATCCAAACTTGACAAGATTGCATATTGGGTTCACCGTAACATCAAAATTACCAACGTGTACCTGCTTGAGCTGGCCTCAGCTAGAAAAATGATCCTCGTCATTAGTGAATTGTATCATGATTGAGGCGGCTGTGGTTACGTAAATCTGTTAATCTGTGCTTTAAATGTGCAATGCAGTGTGTCAGACGGACTTAAATGGTATTAGGTCATCACCACTGTATGCCTAGCTTGGTTTGGAGTAATTCGTTTGGATTAATAATCCATATTATGGTTCAGGGTTCCCCAGACAAAATCAAACAACACAATTGTTTATTATTTATTTTTCTTTTTTAGTTACCTACCTTGTAATCTTGGAGTCATCATTCCTTCATGAAGCATTTGATCAGGAGGTTCCTTTATTTATAGGCCGTGACAGTGATGGTGCAGCAAGCCATGGGTTACATTGATCAAACACCTGATCTTGATACTCGTGTAAAGCTCATTAAAACATTGAATAGCGTATCTGCTGGGAAGGTAACCAGATATTATTGTGTTGAGCTTGTCTTTTGTTAGATTATGCTCTTTCATATGTTTCATGTCTTATATTCTGTTTGTTACAGATATATGTTGAAATAGAAAGGGCATGGTTGATCAAGACCCTTGCTAATGTTAAGGAAGAACAAGGGCTTATCGACGAGACTGCTGAATTGATGCAAGAGATAGCGGTAACTGTGGTTGCTTACATATATTCCTTGTATTTCATAAAATATATTTCAGGACTACTCTGATTTTTTGGTAAAAGTTGTGTAATGGATCATCATTACACATATTTGTGATACTGCAGGTTGAAACCTTTGGTGCAATGGCAAAAACTGAAAAGATTGCTTTTATTCTTGAGCAAGTATGTCCCATTTCTCGAGCTTTGTTGGTTCCATTATCTCTTCTCCTGGCAGTAATTGTTTACTGTTGGAGATAAATGTTTCTACTTTCTTATTTTAGTCGTGTTTAACTGTTGATGAGTTAAAATTTGGAAAATTTTCTGTTTATCAGGTTCGCCTTTGCTTAGACCGTAAAGGCTATGTTCGGGATCAAATCCTTTCCAGAAAAATCAGTCCCAGAGTTTATGATATTGATCCTTCAAAAGAAAAGAAAAAACCTAAGGAAGGTGATGCCATTGTAGAAGAGACCCCTGCTAATATTCCATCGTTGCCAGAATTGAAGCGCATCTATTATGAATTGATGATTCGGGGAGTTCAAAAATTGTTTTTACGGAGTGCTTAGTTCTGTTCTTGCTAGGATATCTGTGGGGTTAGAATTTTCTTCTTTTTGCATTAATTTTTTTTCCTTGGGATTGAAAGTATAAACTAGTTTCATTTCTAACTAAGTAGATTTTGCCAGGTACCGTGACTTATTTTTTGTATTTTGTTTTGTTTTAAATATTGCAAACAGTCAATATAATGTAGTTTTTTTCTTGAAATTTTGAGCTTGGAAAATTTCTGCACGTGCCCTTATTTCTTTTGTTGATATATGGGGATTCTTTCACATTCTTAGAGAGATTAAGGAGAGATAGAGAGAATAGACTAATGGCATTATTGAAGGCAAAGTAAGTATAAACTTCAAGGGGTAAAATTTATGGGGGGACTTTCTAGGCTAATAATCCAGGGAAAATTCTCTAATTCTGTTAGTTTGGTGGACAGCCATAGATTACTTTTATCCCCTTTGTTCTCATTCTATCACTGCTCACCACATTAGCATCGTAACTTTACCAACCGATTCCATGTCCAGTTACTTACTTTTGTCTCTCTCTCTGTTCCTCTACATCTCCTCGACCATTATCCTTTCTGCAATCCAAATTCACTTGCACGATCTCCAACTTTCTTACACCCTTAGACATCTTAAAGAAATAAAAGTTTAGATAGAGCTTGCATCCTTTGGAGACTGTCCTAGAATCTTGTTTCCGGTGACAGCACTTTTGGTATCAAAAGTGTTGAAAACTATTGAATTGCTTTGGGAGATTGCTTCTAGTGGAAGTGAGATGCTGGATTGAGAGGGAAGCAGTGATGTTGGAATCCTGGGAAGGGTGGAGATTGATGGGTAAGGAGGATGGAGGGAGTGGAAAGGAGAACAATTTCTAGGTGGGAAAATATTTCCTTCCATATAAGTGAATTGATAACAATCCTTAATTTTATTCCTCAGTCATGCATCCGAAATCACCCAAAATATTACCCCTTGGCATATAAACCCTCTGCCCTTTTAAGGAAAGCTGACAAGGGAGGAAAATAGAAGAATTTTATCAATCCATCATAACTCAACTATCACCTTTACTCTTCATAGGAAGAGAACCCCTTATTTAAATCCAACTTAGATGAATATCTTATATTGTAATGGGTTGTGGGATAGACTGAAATATGCAACCCATTAATTCACAATGCACAATAGTTCCAATATACAATCTCTAATCGTCATCAGAACAAAATTCTCACTGCCCAAATCTTAAAACATCATATATATATAATTCATGCTTCATGAATCAACACAACCAACTAAAACAGAATTACACAACGCCCAAATTCATACTTTAAATCCCAAAACTCAAGCTAAGTTTTCCAAAAATTCAATCAACAGTCGTCACGAAATCGAAGACACACCCAGACAAAATTTAAACTGAAAAATTAAAGATTACCTGAAAGTGATCAAAGTAGGCAATGAACTGTTTTTAATCAAAAGCTGAAGATCATGATCTGGGTTGAAATTCTTCAAAAAATCTAATCGAAGCTCTACCAAATCAGCACCTTGTTCCTTAGCTTTGTTAACTTGAACCAACATTTGATCCGGGGTATCATTCATAATGGGTACACATATCAATGTCGGATTTCTTCCCATGTATTCCCCCATTTGAAGATTCAAGATTGCTAACTGAAACCCAGAAACACAATTATCGGCAATTTATACCCAATTAGCTCAATAATCTACCTTAGAAGAACCCTAAATTGAATATACTAACAATAGAATAAACGATTAACACTACATTGTGAAATTGATATTCGGTGGTTGAAAAAGTTAACATCTTTACCTCGGAAGCTGCTTCAATGGAGGAGAGAGGAAGAGGGGAAGCTCAAATTGAAAAAGGTGAAATCTTTTTGGATTGTCAAATTTTTAGTGTATGAGGTTAGGTGAAGGTGACTGAATAAGGGAGGTTAGGTGGCGTTTTCTGTCAAAAACACAAAAATCCAGTGGAACTGGAATAGTTGATGTGTTTGGTGGGAGTCAATGGCACTTTATCATCCCTTTCGTATGGCAATATTTTATGTCTCACAAAATATTCATATGTAATAAAAATATAGGTAGTATTTTTTATTATTTTTTTAAATCAATACTCATCATTCTTTCACCCAATTACATACTTTTTCAACAGAGATTTTGGTGTAGATTAAAAGAGAACTTGCTACTTTGAAGCTTTTGAGACATCCCAATATTGTCAGATATGATAGTGAAAAAAGAAAAAAAAAAAAAAAAAAATCAATTTAACCCCAAACAGTTTCAATATCCTCAATTTCTAACGCCAAATTACAATTCAATAAATTTCAGAAGAGAGAAAGAAAACTAACAGCGCAAGAATGACCAGCAGCGCCAAGAGTATAATCGACGAAAGAACAAAGGCGGAAACGAAGACGAAGAATAACTAATAAAAAGACTAATTTTGGAAGAAAGAGTTTTTTTGAGACCGTTTATTCGTTTAGTTAATTGAGACTTATTAGAGGATTGATCAAATAAATAAATAAATAAATTAATTAATTAAAAAAAAAAAAAAACCTAATTTTGGAAGAAAGAGTTTTTTGGCTTTTTGAAAAAGCTTAAAATAAGAGTTTTTAAAATGGAAAATGATAAACGTAACTCTAAGGGCTATGTATAAGAAGCTAAAAAAAGATGTATAAGAAGCTAAAAAAAGATGTATAAGAAGCTAAAAAAGGAAATATTAAGGATAAATTAACAATTATTACACCAATTTGCGTGTGATTTGGTCATGAATTCCCAACTTAATGCCCTTTTAAGAAGTATATCTAATGCTTATATATATCCATAAGGGCTACATATATCATTACCCTTTTAAAATTAGCTTATTAAATATTTAGCTTTTAAATTATTATCTACACCAAAACAACTAACAATTATCAACTATTTACTAAACACTTTACACAACTACTAGTCAATCTAGCTAATACAACCCTTTTTTTTAGGCAAGCTAATACAACCATTTAGTCAACTCAGTTACGAAGCAATACAACCAGCTATATTAATCAGCTACTAACTAATTACCAAAGAGGGTCTATGTGTTTGATAGTAAATTATTTAATTCCTCCGCTCTTTTTTGGTTGCAAGGTGTTGAAATTTTACATTTTTTTTTTTATGTTATTCTAGTTGAGTAGCTTTGTTGATTACTTCGGAGTATATGTTAGGGAAAAAAAATAGTCATGTGAAATTGGGTTAGATTTGTCTGGATATATATAATTATATTTTCATAATATTAAATTATGCATTGACAAACATAAAAGTCGGTTTGTAACAGATAAAATGGAACCAAGGGAAGTATTATACATGGTAAAAGGGTAGTGTGTTAATATTGATAAATTCAGATACAATAATAGAAATATATATTATGGAGAAAATATGCACCCTATTATAAATTAATTTCATTCATACTCCAATCTATAATCATCCACCAATACCAAAGCTTTTTTTACCCATTCCAGACCTATACTCCATATTAAGCATTGTTAAAGGGTAAAGAGTTAATAATATGGTTTGATTATTATTAATCAAAAGGTAGAATATTTATACAAAATCTACGCTCACAAAATTAAATAAGAAACAATCTTCTTAAAAATTTGCTATCATAACCATATATTCTAAAGATATATTCACGTACTAAATAATATCTTAACATAAATAATCCTAATATATATATTATTCTCCTAATAATATCAATATGGATAATAAATCACACATACCTATACGCAACGATAAAATTATTACACATTACATTCATACAATAATACTTGATTCTCAAAATTAGAAGTCAAATATAGCTCATGTCAATCCTTATTATGTGTTCTTTGCCAAGACTTCTCTCATAAGTTTTTTTGGGGCTGTGTAATCAAGCGAAACAAACGTCATGAGAAAACACACAAAAAGGAAAGGAAATTAAGAAGTCAGAAGTAGTGTAGATTGTAGTAAGAGGTTGCATGTATGTATATTTTACCTGGCAAACCAGTGAACTTTTCAAATTGTATGAAAGCTTGATTAATGAACATTTCTATTCCATAAACAATAGTAGCTCCTGAATTTTGAGCTTCTCTCAATAGTTTGGTTAGTCTTGGGGTATAAACTGCATCGAATACAAGGGAGTAATGCTTTAGAGCTTTCTGCAAAAGAAGCGCAAATTTAATTCACATTAGTATTATGGAGTATAATGACAAAGTTAGTGCAAAGGTTGAGGCCTGATGGTTGAGGACTAGGAATATGTTTTATATTCTATGACTCTATCATTCATTCATAATGTCGTTGAACTGAACAAAAACCTTAAGAAAAAGCATGTGCATGTATATTTCATTATATTATCTTGAGAACGAAAGGAAAATAATAAGAGAATTCTAGCCTTAAAATGCTTAATGATGCTTCATCTATCTATGAGATCAAGCAAGGTCATCAATAACGAATTCTAATTTCTAAACACTAGATCAATCAATGATTGGTAGTTGATATGAGATAAAGCTTGGATCATGCCCGTCTAAGATTTCTCAACTTATATTTCCTCTATTTCTATCTAGTATGCTCATTAGACATTTTTAATCAAAGACGTTGAACTTTATCAACTTTTTTTTTTTTTTTTTAAATATTTCCTCTATTTCTATCTAATATACAACGGTAAGTCGGTAAGACCATTGACAATAATAAATTAAAGAGTCAACTGTACTACGATAACTCAGTAAGATCATTGACAATAAAGAGTCAAATAAACTACGGTATCTTATTTACTAGGTGTGAAGGTATTAGGAAAGATGGTTACCTAAGAAATAACCATCCTATCAATATTTGGTTGCATTCCAACTGGTGTACCATTTGCCAAAACCATTCCCTCTTCTGGAGCAAAGTCATCTAATTCTGCAAATTTGATAACTTTTCCACTAAATTTACTTGCTAAAATCCACAGCATTTTCTGATATTTACACCAATTAATAAACAATAATCTCTTAGCACGACTAAGAGTTTATCCTAATAGGTAGTTAGAAGAAATGTAATTTATGAGCTAAATAAACAATTGTATCAAACATATACTTCATGATTGAACTTAATTTTTTGTGTTTAAAGACACTAAATAAATGCCAATAAATGATTTAAACAACTAATTCCTAAATAAATCAATCAACAAATAATTAAATACTCTATAGTAGCGGATCAAACAAGCTAAGTAAACCAAGCCAATCATCGACTCATTCTCAAATGCCAATATAGATATATGTTCATGCGATTTAAATTGGCAAGGGTTTTTGGAACACGAAAGAATTTTATGTATTCTTTGTGCTAATGAAAGCGTAAAAGAATTATGCACCATTGCAATTGGATCCACCTTGCCACAACATTTAAGTCCCGCGATCTTGTGAGGAATTGTGAAGCTGCACACGAATGTCATGGGCTTAATATAGTCAGAATGAGGTCTATTTAATTTACTTAACTAGTAACTAGACAATTAGAGATACATACACTTACTATAATGGTTATTATACATCGCGATAGTACTAGCTTAATAGTCCAATATATGTACATGTATCCAACGAAGTCAGGAGATGAATATGTCTCTAGACAGTCAGAAACGCTATCCACCAGCAAAGGCAAATATACGCCATTGAAACCAACAGACTTGAATGCCGCGTTGTATAGATGAGGACTCTTGCTGTGTGATATAGGATTTCCTAAATAACACACCATGAACTTTGGTATCAGCCCTTATTTGCCTGAAATTGTACAATTCCAAGAGGTCTTTTATAGTGGGTTGTCCAAGCTCTGAAACTGATTCTCTACCCTCAAGGATTGCATATGTAAGGAATCCACCAAATTTCGCGCTGAGTATCCTTGACATTAAGTCCTTTCTCACCCATAACAACTCTAATCATTGGAACCTTAGATTGTAACACAAGCATTTAGCTAATCATTAAGGATTAGTTCATTATCATTTTTTTGTTTAATATAAAATTGAAAAAATCTACTATGGAAACCACAAAGAGTATTTTCTAGTTTGCTGTTGTCAGATTTCAAAATAAACATGATTATTAATTGTAGGAATATATTATTTTTTATTAGTTCATAATTCTATTTAAATTTTATGATGACTTTCAAATTCATTAAACCAAAAATTAAAAGCTAACAATGATGTCAAACAAGCCATAACTTTACCAACCGATTGTGATTTGGTCATTTGTAATAGTTAATTGAAAATGATTAAATTTGTTTTCGTCACTAAATATAACATTGTGTCTTATCTGTTGAAAATGATTTTAATAATGCATTTGTTTTCATACAGTAAAGATAACAAGGCCTTTGTACTGTTGTACGTACGCACCTGAGAATAAGCAAGTAATTGCATAATACGTGCATTATCTGTAATGTATACAGCAGTTGTAGCAATTTTTACTATATCAGCTCCAACAGCTTGTATACTTGCCATAAGTCCTCCGAATTCCTCTAGGGACGGCGTGTTTACGAAGTTGTGAGAAGAAACTATGATGTTGGTCTTATTAAGCTCCTTTTCATCATCGTTAATGGACTTGAAAAATTCATCTGCAACCTACAAGGAGCAAATGACTAAACCTCAATTACTTGTTTGGCTAGAATATATAAATATGTGCTTGATTGCAAAATTTAATTTCAAAGATGCAACAATTTTATTTACGAAGTATTTCAATTTTTAACCAATAATAACCACTAAAACCCCATCTTTGCAATTCTCTTAATTAATTTCTCATATATTATATATGTCCACATATTCAAAAAAAATGAAAACGATATTTTATCTCCGTTTCATATTATTTGCAACTTTGGGTATTATTTATGAGATATGAAATATTCCAAAGTTGCAAATAATATGAAATGGAGGTGATAACTTTTTTATTTATTTTTTAATCATGTGCATTAACATAAGTGCATCATGCTATCATAGTACGGAGTATATAACAAGTTAGTAAGGGCCAACAAGTACCTTAAACTCAACATCGACGTAATCGGCTCCTAGTTC